CCTAGCTCCCCTCGGGCAACCTCCCCCGCCGCCACCACTTGGGCTCGCCGTGGTGAAAACCAGATCCAGCTCCCCTCCCCGGCGGCAACCCGCACCGGCCGGCCATGGATCCGACTCCCCCACCAACCTGCAGCATCTGCCGATGAATCGAGCCACCTCTCTACCGGCTACCTTCATCCGCCTCCCCACCACGACCACTATCCACTTGGCCTGATTCACGGGCGTCGAGGAGCCAGGCAGTGTCGGCGGAGCAGGTGGCGGGTGAGGGTGCAGCGCGGCGCGCGGGCTACTGGCGGGGGAGGATGGTGCAGGAGGTGCGCTCAGGGGAGCGGCAGGTGGAGGTGGTCGTCGGGGCGGAGGCGCCACGGGAACCCAAGGCGAGGGGCATCGTCGGGAAAGAGCACATGCAGCTGCTCCTACGCCTCGATGGGGTGTGGGGCGCCAGCGGTCGAGCTTGATGGAGTGAGTCTCCCTGTTGCCACCACCCCCTACTGATCCGTTGACCACAAGATCCCCTTCACCCCTCCGCCTCCAGGCACGATGGCGGCCTCTCGCCGGCGCATCCTCTCCTTCGACATCTATCCGAGGCCTGCTCTCCTAGGTGCCTACTACCTTTCGGCAGTGGTGGGGATTCGGCAAAGATCTGCTTCGCCACCCCTCATCCCTCGTTCTGTGGCATCAAGGCCGGGACGCCCAGCACAGCGGCGAGGGTGCCGCAGGTCAACGGCATCCCGCCCAACTCTGTCGTGTGCAGTGCACACCTCGCGGTGCTGCAAGTTCTGGGGCGGCGGGAGTGAGCAGCATGTTGTCCTTCCACTGACGGCGAGCAGTGCAGATAAAAATGTCGTTGCAGGTAGTTGTGGTTGTCGGTGCAGTTCGCAAGCGCATGATGGCATGACGGCGTGCAGTTCCCTGGCGCGTGGGTGCTGTACAGTGCAGTGCACCTGGATCCCGCGGGCAGTGCATCGCGCGCCCCCGGTGTGGTTCATCCAAGGCCACCGCCAACAAAATTGTAGTTTCCGCACCTTGTTGACACTTTGCTCATATTTTTTGTGTGCAGGTCGCATGCGTGCCGAGTCGAGCTGAATGTGTGGTGTTGGACAAGATGCAGTACGGTTGGTGTCACCGTGCAGCTCATTGGCTAACAGCATGCAGTTTGATACATCTGTTTTACAGTTCTTTTGCTATGTCCTGTGGTATCTGTGTCCTATGTTGGGCCAAAGTGTGCAGGGCAATAGGGCTTGCGTGGAGTTTGGGGGTAAGCACATTGCAAAAATTGCAGTGCGGTTTGGCGACAGTGGAATTGCGGTGTGGTTCGGCGCCCGTCGAGGTGAATTTCGTCCACGGGGACCTTGTGTTCTTTTTTTGTCAAAAAAATTATGCATGACGAAGCCACAGGCGCCACCGACGAAGCAGTACCGATGGCGACGCCGTGCAGCTCATCAGTGACATGCGCGTGGTTTTGCACCTAGCAGCGTGTAGCCACCTGATGCACATCAGTACAGTTGGATCTCATGGAGTTTTAGATACTTATTTCGGCATTCAGATTTGCAGTGTAGTGCGTACTCGTGGAAACCAAAAAATGCCTGTTTATTCTTGATGCTTTTTCTTGCATTGAAAAACTTATTATGCCTTAAGCAGTGCAGTTAATTGTTGGGTGCTGTACTCTTGACTTTGTTGTGTAGTGCGGTTAATTTGTAGGTATAGGCGAATAACAAAAAAACAAAGAAAAACAAAAATAGGGAAAACACACGAAAAAAACATGCAGCCCGCTCGTCTATGTATGAAGTGCAAATTGTTTCGTGTGCTTTAAAAACCAGTCGACTACATCATCGCATGCAGTGCTTTTGGTCCTCTGATGTGGTTCATTTTTTAGAGTGATGTTGTTCACTTGTGCCCAAAATGAAAGTGCTAAAAATTTAGCGAAACAACAAGATATTATTGCGGTTCACTTCGATATATGTCGCGGCTCACTTGCCCTTGTCCATGCGGTTCACTCTTGTTGATAAAAAAAAAACTCACAAAAACTCGTCTGAGAAAATTTATGCCTGACAAAAGAAAACCATGAAGTTCGCTTGACTATTTGATGCAGTGCGGTTTTTAGTCTAAAGAGGTGTGATTTGCTACCTTGTTTGGGAAAATTTACGTCCCACAAAAAAGAAAATCATGCAGTGCACTTGCCGGTCTGATGAAGTCGGTGTCGTGGCCTGTTTACGGTAGTCTCGAGGTACCCTTTTCATACTATTGCGGTTCACCAATGCTCAAGATGAAGTGCACTCCACCTTATTTGGGAAAATTTACATCCCACAAAAAAATCATATAGTGCACTTGTTCGTCTGATAAAGTGCAGTTTTTAGTCTGAAGCAGTGCGGTTTTCTGTGTGATGCAGTACATACGACGATTTGGGGTCGCGAAGAAACAGAGTGTCCGCATTTCGTTAAAATAAAAATTACTCTTAAACCATAAGGAATCAGAGAGAGTGTTCTACATGAAAAAGTTGCGT